TGCTCCAGCATGTCCGATCGGGATCGGCGGTAGCTGACAATGGAAACTTTAGAACCTTAACTACATCACACATTAATTGTTTTTAGCAATTTTTAATAAATTCCATTTTAACTTTTAGTTTAAAATTATTCTAGAAACATTTCACAACAAAAGCTTCGTTCTTATCTAGCTTTTATTCTTCTCGGATGAAGAAAATGAAGTAACGGTAGCCAACTACAGCTTTCCGCACTCAATATTGGCCCGACGATTTATCATACAAATACACGACATATGTGACGTCACCGTTTGAAAATATCATAAATTAGGCATCTTCCCCCGCTTACCATCTTACCCCGAATCACTCTATACGTCGCAGTTAAAATCTGTTTTTAGTTAGAATGCGTTTTAACTAGTTAAAACTAGTTTATACTGGATGTCTTTGTTTAAACCAGTTTTGTCCAGTTAAAACTAGAATTTACTGCTAGTCAAAAATGAATTTGAGTTAGAACTAGTTTTAACTAGACAAAACGGGTTTTAACAAAGACGTTCAGTAGAAACTAGTTTCAACTAGACAGACGGGTTTTAACAAAGTCATTCAGTAGAAACTAATTTCAACTAGTTAAAACGCGTTCTAACTGAAAACGGGTTTTGACTGTAACATATATATTTTTTAAAAGAAAAAGAATTGTGGATTGAGAATATTGTTAAGAATTTTTAGAAAAATTTTCGATGAATTTCGATAGTAATAATAATAATAGTTTGATAGTTTTCTGGAAACATGCAGTGCAAAAACTCTCATTTTATTTCAATTACATAGTAACTGAAATATTTTCAAAATGTGTTTAATAAATTCGGAACAAATGTTGTTTACTTGAGCAAGCAAGGAAAAAAAACCAATAGTACTAAGGGTCAAGATGTTTTGGTGCTAGTGCTGTAACCTGGCGTGATGAATACGGTCAATATATTATTAGCAGGTGAGCCCGGCGTTGCTCGAACAAAAAGTAACGATAGCGAATATTATAATTATTAGATTATAGCAGAACTTACTTGTTTATACCGGATGCAAGAATTATGTTCAACCTTTTCCGAGCACAATTAGATACTTTTTAACTTTTTACCGTCAAAAAACCGCATATAAAATATTACCGTAAAAGACTAATTCAAGGTAATTTTTAACCCTCTCCCTCCACCGTGGGATAATTTTTTTTTTAAATTCCTTCTTTCGAAACTAAATAAGATATAAATTAATAGAGTAATCTTCCTTCTGGTGACCATCTCTGGTGCAGCATCATCACTCCTCCTACAACAAAATTAAATTATTTTAAGTTAATATCTTGAAAGACGGCAAAATGGCCGTGAGGTTTAGGTGGCAACCTACCGCTCTGGGGGACTCGGGTTCGATCCTGATTTGTCTAAAATCTCCAGGAATTTTTCGGGGGTGGTCTGTCTGGATATATCAGGCTTTGTCCTTCACCATCCGGCCGCTGCATTGTATGCCTGGCCGAACCCATAATAGCCTTACTTAATGAGGCTCACTTAGTGCCAACAGGAAGGAAATAGTTAAAAGCTATATATCTTGAAACGCCTGCATTGGAAGTTGTAAGAAAATATTGATTTTAATTAATATACGATTTGAATGTATTTTGGGAAATTGTCTTATTTTGATAATTTAATATTTTTTCCGTTTTTTCACAAATAAATTTTTAAAATAAATTTCTATTTATAAATAATTAAAAATGCTAGCCAGGCAATAAAGGTGTGAGCTTTTCGCTCTTGATAGACCAGATTCAACTTTTGTCGACGAATAGCAATTTATTGCATTCACAAATACACATTTAACTGTATTTTTTATTTTGAAATTAAACAAGAAACCACAGCTCTAGAAAGAAAGGAAATCTGACATAATGGTAAACTGAAATCGAAAATAACAACGTTACGAGAACTGTTAATCACACGATTATTATAGTACAATTCTTCAGTTTTTGGGGTGCTGCATATCTTTAGTCACGTGATTTTTTCGAATTTGACCATCTGTCTTTCTCTACTCTGTGCGATCGGCCAGTTCCACTATGTCTACTGCTTGGTTTTATAACTAAAATTAGTTGAAATATGTAAGTCCAACAATTATAAGCGGTTTTACACACTATAAAACATGTTAATTTTACGTTGTGAAAACATTTTACACATGTACTACGCATGGCTTTTGTACGTAAAGTATTTAATTTTTTATAAATATAAGTTGGTCACTCGAAACAATTAATAATTTAGTAAATTTACTGTGTTTTGTTTTCACATTTTGAAACAAATAATTGTGAAAATTTATTATTTCACTGGTTATATTTAGTTCATAATTGTGCAGATGATTTCAATGACAATGGTAATTGTGTGACGATCCAAAACCCTTTTGTTTTAGAACAATATCACTTTTCTAATAAACTTCGTGATTAGGTAAAAAGAGAAAGAGAGGGACTTCTGCGGTCGATGACCGAGATGATCTCCTCGAAAAAAATTCGTTAGTATATCAATAAACGAAATCTTTTCCATTTGTTTAAAGGTAATTCTATAGACGTTAATATCAACAAGACGGGAATAAGAG